TCATAATTTTTGCAAAAGGCTGTATTTTTTAGAATAGATATATATAGGTTTTTCTATGGAAAACTTGTAATCGCATAGTTCATTTTTTCGATGCAACTTAAGCAACTTTTTATGAGTCTCGCAAAGTCATCTTAAAACGATCTCTTTTGGAATTATACAAASGCAAAACATCAYTARTTTCTGCACTCATAAATAGTTTTCAGAACGAATAAATCTGGCAGTKTTCAGAACAAAGATAATTTTTAACTAGTTTTATATAAAAATTCCATAGCATTTCAAACAAAATCAATTAAAAGAGCACAGGAGCTCTTTCCGATATTATTTATTTACAAATAAAACGATTCCCAAGCAACAGCTTTTGAATTTGAAACAAAAGGGCTTTAATGGCGTTACTGCGTGATTTTATTAAGCCAAGTTCAAGCCATCGAATCTAACAAAACTACATTAAATAATTTTATTTTTGGACGCTTACTAGCTTTGAAAATATAAAGGTAGCTACATGTATTTTGAGTTCAACTACGACTCGACGTACGTACGTTTTACGTCGGTTGCTACGCAGACCGTGCCCASCTCTTGCGTCATTCCTTGCGATTTTTTTTTTTCGGCTATGCAAAAATCGGCTCAGAATTGTCAAAATTGTAGAAATCAGTTCAACGTTGCTTCATAAGATTAGGAAAAGTCAGGCGAAAAAGCTGTAWAACTTCTACATGCTCTAAGCCATGAATAATATGCATGACCAGCCATCAGGAATATTTCTCTCACGCCGAAGAACCGTTCATAGGAGGTAGCTGTTTCATTTTTCATCAAAAAGACTCTAAAATTTAGGACAAATGTTTTGTAATGACGAGAAAGGTTGCTGGATTTTACCTTAGCAGTTTTTTTATGTAGAGTATAGARTCGATCGTTCACCAAATCCTTATTTGTCTATGTTTTTCACGGATCGATTCCCTCACTCAATTCTAACCGAGGAAAAACGCTTAAAAACACTATTTTTGATCATTTTACTTCCAAAACAACAAGTTAGATGAAAATTCACACAAAATTTACGTTTTCGTCGAATTTTGTGCTTGATTTTTCCCCTTTTATTGTGATGCAGCTAAGCTGTCAGTTTTGGTTTTGACAAGYGCAAAGAAGCGTATCAATCCGAAGCCTTCATTGAGTGATAATCTTTCAGAAGTTTTCAAAAGAAACTTTCTTTGCAAATTRAACTTTTTGATTTTGGAATTAATTATTATTATTGAAGTCTTGTCATCTTTCATTTACTTTTACCAATTCATCGTATATCTAAATAAAATAAGATACCCAAAAAAGTCGTTTTGTTCTTTATATAGACTTTCTTCCTTTTGTCGATTGAAAAAGTGCGAGAAGTCTTWAAGTCATCGAAGTTGGGCAWGGGATATATTCCAGAGGAAAGTTTTCTCATCGTCGGTTCGTAAATAGCTACGTCAATTCAACGTACCGTTACCTAATTACATTGGCAAGTGATTGTTCTTATGAGAAGTCAATCTCATCCCATTGTTATAAGTTCACTTCAAGAGATTCCAACGGAGGAGCGAAATTGATAAAAATAGAAAAGGCACTTTAGTGGCTTCTCATAGAAGGGGGAAGCCATTTCAATGTTACCTGATGATCCTCCAACGAAAAACTTTCGAAAGAACTTAAAARYCCAAACAGCACTTGAAAGGGATCGAAATTGCTCATATAACGTTAGACTCGCTGTCCTTTCATATGTAAATTTTACAAGAAAAGCTTTCATTCGAAGATTTCTTCGGTTGAACGCTTCGGCTTAGGATATTTGTCGATTAAACTTTTCGGGCCTTTTTCGTACTTGAACAACATCCCTTCGCAAATAACCTTTCATCTGTCTGTCAAACGTGAAGCTTTTCAAGTGAAAGCTAAGAAAATTCGGTTTTTTGACCCCTCGAAGGGAGYTGTTTGCGTTGGCTTTTGAAAGCGGAAAATATTCACTCTCGCAGTGAGTTTTCGTAGGCGGAGTTTAGGTCAGTAAGGTCGGACATATAGATCAACGTTGTTAGGGAAATATCCATCGCAATTTACTAAAAAACACTGCAGAATTCCTGTTAAAAATTAAAGTATCAGTTGAACCCTTAATTGACAATCGTTTCTATTCGTAATTTTGAACTCTGATCTATGAGGTATTCTAATGCGTTGATATTTTAGCTGAAGAGATTTCGCTACACTTCAGTAGCTTGGTACTAAAATAAATGCAGAAAAAGTTTATTTTTCARCTCAAAATTTTTCCTTGGTGAAATTGCAGCCATTTATCTTGCTTAAAAATCGAATTTTCTGCTATTTTCAAGGAGTTTCCAAGTTTCTGGTGTTTTCCGTGCAATCTTCCGAGCCTGTATTGTTCRTATTTTTTATGCTTGATTGCAATCATAGCGTCATTTTGAATGCTAATTGAATTGCAGTTGAGATTTTATACGCGTGGCTACACCTTAATAACTGAACAGAATCAAACTGAAAATTCASTAACTTAATTCACTAACTCAATTCCCCCAAATGCTTAAACTTTAAAAAAACATTTGTATCCTTTTTATAATAGATATACTTATCAGACGAAAGTAATTCAGTCATTAAGGTTTCGAAGGGCAATACCACGTATTGATGCTCGCTATCTTAATGAGCCAAATAGGTTACGAAACTAAATCAAATGTAAAAGGGTTTTCGTAGTTTTATCGTAATAAAGTTACAGACATTCTATATTAGAAAATAATCCTTTATTTACTTTTCGATTGCGTTGTTAAATTCTCATTTTCGGACCGTCTTTTAGCTGTTGTCAACAACTTGTACTTGTTGATTGGGTCTATTAGCTCATGTATATTTATGTATTTTTAAAACCGTTTTCTAAATCTGCAGTTGGAACTCAAAAATGAAGAAAAACAGACTTTTGGTACTTCTTTTGTGGTKTAGCTATTTTCTAAAAGCTTTTTTAGGGGGGGATTTTTAAGATGAGAAAGTTTGAATTCATTAAAGCTATTTTTACTTTTGGCCATTGCGGGCTGTTTGCCATGTCAACCTGAGAATCTCAAACAAAGGCGACTTCACCCCCTGGTAAACAGAAAAGCTGCACGTCTCCAACCATTCCCCCTCATCAMACATCAAAACAGCCCACAATGATTTAAAATCACAACTTTTCCTCAAATAACTAGCAAGGTATTGAGGTTATAGTTCTTAAGGAAAAACTTTAGTTGGCAGATAAAAGTTTTCAAACTTTCAATCAAGACATGAATGTTTGATGTATTCGCGGTCTTCTAAGTGATACTTTGCTTGGCGCCATAACCTTGGTTGAAAAAGCGCTTATGTATCGTTTTTAAGAACAGAATTTAACAACTGAAAGAAGAAAATAACTTTGGAGATTACTGAATAAGCGAGTTTATTAGTAAATAAGCCACAAATATAAATGCTAATTAAGAGAAGTCTTTGATTGCAGAAAATATCAGGAATTTTGGAAATAAACTTGAATGTGAAAAGGACGAAAAAGTCCATTTTATTTAACCTTGCAATAAAAACGTTTTGCAAAAAGTTTTGTACATTTAAAGAGGGTGAAAGTTTTCTCGGGATTTTCTCGCTTGGAAGGTGATACGAAAATCCGGTTGTTCACAACCACGTGCTTGTAAAGTCAATCTATTTACCACAAAACTTTACCCTCGAATTCATCAAATCGAACAATTGATCGAAATGTTAATTTCCTGAAATCAAATCAAACAAAATACATTCCATGGTTAGCGCGCAATATTCGGGACGCTAACGCTTTTGAAATCAACTCTTGACTATTATCATCGGGCTTCCGGTCWAAGATCATTGATTAACACTCTGAATTTTTCGTATTTCTGTTCGTGTCGTTTGCGGGAATACGTTTAAAAACCGGAGAAATTGAACCCGCTGTTTGCTCATTTAGATAAATATCTAACCCAAGGTAAAGTGACTTTCTATAAGGATTGTTTCAAGGGGTACGGAGGCGGGGACTTTACTCATGAAAATTGCATAAAGGTGACGTCACTAAAGGAATTCTCCCGTTGAATGGTCAGCCGATCTAAATAGCCCTTGCAGATATAGGAATGCGCTTGACTTGTCAGAGGCGCATTTCGGAGTTTCGCGCGGCCGTGTCACTACACAAGGATTGTTGGGAAGAAATACTTTTGAGAATTACCTTACAGCAACAGGAATGCCGAGAGCTTTTCTGATCAAAAGCAGGGCTGCTTGTCCGGCGCCAAAGAAAGAAAATATCGACGAACAAACTTCTTYACACGAAAATGGACAAGCGACAGAAGGCACATCGAATTTTACGCAAGGTAAACTTTGTGAATTTTTWGAATTTTGTCGGATTTACTAACTTAGGATTTCACCTGAAAATGTACTCTTAGAACKTATTCGGTTTAKATAATCTAGATAGCTAATGGTAGATTTTGTTAAGCAAAGGTATGAACAGCGGGCTTCATACTATTTATTGCTTTGTAATTCGTTTAGAAAGTTTTTCTCAGTTTACGCATATTTAATCATACTCAAATTAGCTTATTTGAATTCTTTTCCCGTGCGAAATTAGAAAGCTTTGTGTGTGGAATTATTGCCATTCCCTTTAGGGTTTTGAGGAGAATGTTTTTCGGCTAAAGTTCATTTTAAGTCACCTGATTTTGGAAAGATTTTCAAAGTTTCCTGGTGGCAAAAACCAAAGTTTAATTACGCGCGCGCTCGGTCTAAACCCATTTCTACCAAACCACGAGAAATCTAGGTGACATCTAGCCCCCGTTATCGTTTTTACACTCTAAAACTAAATGYCAATGATAGTGTAAGATTTTTTGTTATTCTGGCGGTATTAGTTTTTTATCCCTCAACGGTATTTCTATTTTCGTATTCTAGATTCCACTACTGTTGACTGTGTGACATCAACAAGTTCCCCGGCTCAAGTTACAGCGCCCGACGAGGCTGTGAAGAAATCCTATACKTTGAATTCTCCAACACATCATGTGCGCGAAGATTTTGGAGATCGTAAACCATCAAAAACAGCAACGCACTCAACGAGATATCCTATACAAAACATAACCGAAGCTTCCAAAGCGAGAAAAAGAGCTAAACGAAGTTATCACGTTGAAGACCATGAAGTTGTGAAAAAAGTACGCAAAAGTCATCCAAAGAAAACTACTGTTAATTACTACGAGACCGAGAATTTTCACAGCGAGCGAAATGGCTCACATAAAGATGAAGCAAGATTCGGAAATTACACGCCTGAAAAGAGACATTACGCTAATGAAGCYACTCGTTATCACCMTCGTGAACTTACCAGCCAATCTCAAGGGAACTCAAGCGGGAAAATATATTCACAGTCACACGGCAAACAAGACAGGACATTTGCATATCAGAACAACGKYGAATCACTGGACCGAGGAAAACCTTCAGCCATTCAACGCGAGAACAAAGACTTTCCCGATAAAAACACTGGACTTGAAAATGTAATGATCGTCGAATATCACTCCGTGAGATCAAACCGAAGACCAAGTTAYCACGATGAGAACAACACAGATCGAACAAATGTCACGCAACGCTCGTCTCAAGGTTACTACTCGCCGCCACAGAGCTCTCCTGTTGTGACAACAAACTATGTTCCTGCGTCTMCGGTCACAACATCTACAGCACCTGTACAGCAAGCTCAGCCACCGAGAGTTTCAGCACAGCCCATGCCAACCCAGGAAACCGCCAAAAATGCAGAACAAGAGCCTAAAGTTGTTTACGTCCCAGTCTATCCCGTGTCTCAAGGACCTAATGGAGTTATCTATGAACCCATACCTAACGCTACTCCWATCATGGCTAAAGATACTTTACCTGTACAGAAAGTTCAGCAGTCTCCACCACAGCATGTCCAGGAACAGCCTCGAATCATCCAAGCTGTACCACCACCAAGACAGGAAGTAGTCATGTCACCTCCTTCTCAGCCTGAACAGAAGCCAAGAGTTGAGTACAGACCATATGAACCCATCATGCCACAGCAGCTAGCAGCARCACCAGCACCGCAGACCTATCAGCCACACCCACAAGGTCATGTGATTATTCAGCAGCCGCATTCAGCRTCAGCTACACCCACTACTTATGCAGTAGCCCAGGTACCACAGTACGCTGTGAGGCCAGCACCACCTTCTCATCAATATCAGCAACAACAGCCACATCAACAGTCTCCACCACAGCCACATCAGCACTACCAGGCTCGTCAACCACCAACATCAGCTCCTCAAACCATTGTCTACAGAGCTGCTGCACCTAGCTACCAGGAACCACCTCACCACTACTACCCAAGACCACCAACAATGCAGGGGTACCAGGAGAGAGTCATTGTACAGCCAGTACATGGCCCTCCTCGCCCTCCAATATCTATACAGCAGCCTATGTACCATCACCAAGAAAGACCTAGYCACACCCAGCAGCCCGCCAGACCCCCTCCACTGCCTTCACAGCCTCAACATGCAGAGAAACCAGCTCTACCATCACCCTCCTACCCACAGGAGAGTGCTAACAGACTACTGACGCCACGCTATACACCTGATGGTACTAAACATGAGCATAAGTTTGTTTATGCACCACCTCCTGCTGACTTTATGAACAGTCCTGTCTACAGAGTGCCAACTAACGACGAGAACACACCCATCTACCATCACGAGAAAGCAGACCGTCATCACCACAAAACTGGTTCAAGGAAGCGCAAACCTTCCTACCCAACACATGCTGTTTTTCAAAMCAAAGCTGAACCTCAGGACAATCTCCCTAGCCCTGCAGACACCAACTCCAGAACACCAAGTCCTAAAGAAACAGACTTGAGGTGCAACGAGAGACTTGTCAAGTCACCTCATCARCCATCACATCTCAACAAGTCCAGCTTGGTGATGACTCCCCCTGTATCTCCTAATGATAGATCTGAGAATCMAGACACTGTGACTGTTGTAGTTAGAGACCAAGGCATCCAAGCCAGCCCTCGCAGTGAAAGAGCACTTGAGCATACTTGCTTYAGAAAAACCAACCATGCTCGCAGCAACAGCTATCAGTCTGACAGCTCAGAGGAAGATTATATGGATKATGATAAGAGAAGTGATAACGATGAGCAGCACAGCCCTGAAAGCGACATGTACACTGAAGATGGAACTCTTGTTGTTCACATCCCTCACCCAGACAACAACAACAATGACAGCTCAAACCCCAAGAAACARCGCAGCAAGAAGAGCAGTTACAGATTCATGTGTAAATTCTGYAGCAAAGGATTTCAATGGCATTCTCATTTAGAATCACACGAAAGAACTCACACAGGCGAAAAGCCATTTAAGTGTCCTGAGTGTGATCGTGCCTTTTGCAGAGCTGATGGTCTACAATGTCACATGCTTGTTCACAACAAGAAACGACCCTACAAGTGCCCTCATTGYGGGAAAGGATTTACAGACAAAATTGTGTTAGAGAAACATATTTACTCACACACTGGAGTGAARCCRTTCAAATGTGAGTATTGTGGACGTGCGTTTAGTGACTCGCTCTCAATCGAGAAACACTTGCTAGTTCATACTGGAACTAAGCCTTACAAGTGCCCTTACTGCGTGCGATCGTTCAACGATTCTCAGATGCTGGTTCGACATATTCGAAGTCACACCGGAGAAAAGCCATTCAAATGCAAGCATTGCCCTATGGCTTTTAGTAAACAAAGTGCTTTGATTATTCATACGCGAGTTCATACTGGAGAAAAGCCCTACAAATGCCCGCACTGTGTCAAGTCTTTCTCCATATCTGGAAATCTTCAAAGGCATATTCTAATACACACTGGTGAGAGGCCGTACAAGTGCAGCAAGTGTCCAAAAGCTTTCAACAACCCAAGTCACTTATCAAGACACATTTCTAAACTGCATGCTCCTCAAAATGGTACCATGAAGCAACCTGTTAAATACGAACAATATGAACATTACAGTAGAGATCAACCCGTAATGTAAGCTAATTTATAACACGATTTGATTATGTTTGTGTTCCTAGAATTAACTTAATTTTTCTTTAATATCAATAGTATATTTTGCTATGCTCGAAATCGTTTTATAAAGTGAAACACTTCTTTTTGTCTCAAAGCTTTTGATACATTAAGTGACGCATTCGATATTTTTTCTGTCGCTATTTCTTTTCTAACAAATGTCTTGATATTTTGATACTAAAATCATAATTACAGCTTAGATATAGAACTTAGATATATCAAGTGATTCCAAAAGATTTTATAAATTTKGTAAGGAATGACAGACTTAGCACCACGTGCATTGGCACGAAATCCGCACAGCCATTTCCCGCCAATTTTCTTTTATTATGATGATGATTAACACCTGGTTCAGACTGCAACGTGCTTTGCAACATTGTTTGGGTACTGTGGTTTTAAGTCTGTTAAAATTTCCCACCTCAAAATGCGATATTAACTTACAAAATCAAGAAAATGATTCCACTTGTTCAACCACTTTGGTAGTATTTATAATGTATTTRAGTRTTGATTCAAAGCTTGGTAAAAATCATTTAGATTTTTTTTATTGTTTGTGAATGAGTGACCAGCACATTGATTGCTTTGAATTTTGCAAGCAGTAATGCAGTCAGTCKCGACACGATAATTGTATATATTGAAACTGTAAATATCATGAAGGAAGTATAATAGTTTGTTTGTAAATTTGATAGAATATCGAGTGAGCAAGATWAATTCAGCATTATGCAAAGGCATAAAATTGAAGTGAAAAATAAAAAGTTTCAAGTAAAAGTGTTGATTTATTGACCTTACAGTAATACAAATGTTATTGTCAAAGAATATATCGTTACTTGCCTCGCATGAATTGCGCGCTTTGAAAGTTTTAGCAAAAAATGTTTTGGAACTTTGACTAGAATTATGACTGAATTGGGAATTATTTTTTCAAGCATGGATAGAATGCGAGTGRATTTTTTATACAGAGTTTTCTTGCTTGACATGTTATTATTTACTAAAAATATGTCTTTATTTTGCCAAAAAATATGTATCTATCAAGCATTGTTCAGRATATAAGTATTGCATTTTCTTTCAAAACTTMACAAGTGCGCAACGATTTTAAAACAACAAGAAGCAAAAACCAGTCGTTCAGAGCTAGAGGTGAAGGATAAAGGTTTGGCAGAAATCCTTTCAAATGTATTGTCTATSAAAGCTGCACGCGACAACCCACTTGACGCAGGTATTTTGGTGAAGCAAGCACTTAACACTAAGAAAACACGTTTCTCTCCGAGTTCGCTTTGTTTTCTGGTCATTTCAAATCAAAACAAAAGCTCGGTAAGCCACTTTGCCGTCCCGCAAACTYCCCAAAGAAAATTCTCTCCCGYCGCTCTCAAAGCKTAARTTACAAACGAATKTGGAGCTTCTTTCTGAATAAAATACTCAAATCATTTTGAAGTTTATAAAATGTAATGATATGTAAGATCTTTGACGAGAAAAGATTAGAGAATTATTCTTTGGCAGAATGCTAATAACAGGCCTAAGGACAAAGCGCTTGTTCCTTTGTGACGTARAYCATTTTCGGCGGGAAACTTGAGCTTTGTTGGGTTACCGCGAGTTGCACATTCACCGAAATGTAACTCTCTCACTTTGGAAATAAAAGCGCTYGATTATAGATAATTRAATCGGTAAAAAGCTGTAAAATAGCCTCGATAAAGGTTTTGCAAAAGAAGAGAGATAGGAATCAGGGATTTTTTTAAACATTACATGTGAAATTTTGGCAGCAAGTATTAGTTTTGTGTACATTTGGATTTCTTYGCGTAASTGAACTCAGAAAGACATTGAAGAGTCTCCTTTTATAATCTCACTTTCAGGCTTCATCTTTGTAGAGGTTAGGTCGACAGCTTTAGGAATAGGCAATCTATCTACGATGTCTTTGCRCATTTGATGCGACAATTATTGAAATGTAATGAGAGCACGAGTTACTTCGGTGTAAACAACCATGTTTTAATATATTGGTTCAAAACGTGCTACTAGCTGAATAGATTGTCTAGTAACTATAAATCGTATCTTTTGATCCTACAGGCGATGGCATCTTGTGCCACCAGCTCCTTTCCCATTGTTATTCTGCAAATTTGATTCACTACAAACACTGTACAAACATCAGCAATAAAAAGATATGAATATGAAGCTTTCTGCGTGCGAGTAGAGCTGGTTTGTCTTTCCAACTTTGATAGATCAATTAGAATCTAAAGCGCACAATACACAAGCGTGGCAAAATCGTAAACGATGTATTTTTAGCTATGTATATAAAAATATCCCAGTAATCGCCGCTTTATTATGAGGGGGACTTATAAATGTCACCGCTTTTGGTTYGCATGACTTATTTCAATGGTTGTTTTTCTTGGCAAGCGTCGCATTAAACCTGCTCGCTTTTTTATGTAAATAAGGGAGAGCGCTCGATAAATAAAGTG